TTCGAATTCTACGGGACATTTCCTGTTTTATTATACCATCCACTGTTATCTTAAACAAAAGTACTGAACATGACCTCTCAAAACAGCTAGGCTTCTTCATAAATGTCGCCATTTTTTACTTATTACGAAATGGCGATTCACAGCATTATTTGGTGCATGTATTGAAATGCAAAAATCGGATAATTACTCTGAGTGTTGAATTTCACAAATAGCATATTAATGATCACTGGTATCAGTTTTTCATGAAGTCACTGATCATAATTCTGAAACGTTGCTAATGAACTTAGAATCGGTTGGGATGTTTTCGAAAATACACTAACATGAACGCCATTTTGAAGTGGGTTTTCCTCCATATTGAATAGAGTCTACACAATGATGTTTCGCGAAGGCCCGCATTGAGACGCCTATTGCATCATGCATATTTCACACTCAGCTGCGACAAATGCATCACTTATTTCCTCATACATTTTAGAATCAAATTACAACTGGTCTTTGTCACCAATACCTAGTGTCGAGATGAAATAAAAGTGCATGGGTGAGAAAACGAATTGTGCCCGAATGACAGCATTTGTTTGAAATGTAAACAAAGAAAAATTCACACTTTACACTGTGTAGCATTTTCTCAAATGTACAGACATCCATTCGTCTATTCGTAGCGTACATATGCTCCATACTTTAAAAATATGCATGGAAAGGGTATCGTAGCCAGAAATAGCAAATTAAAAATAGATACAAAACAGTAATGAGATATGTTTATACGAAACTGACAAACGCAAAATCACACAGAACAACAACGGTAAGTATGGGCATTTCAGGTTTGTTCCCTTACGTACAATGAAAACGATAAAAACATAAAACAATACACAGCTAGTCAGAATCATTATGATTTCTTACATCACATATTTATGTACAAACGATCCCTGACTCAAGGGAAGGGTCCTCACAGAATCCTGCGTACCCATGTCGTGTATGGATTTTCTAAAATTCTTGTGGTTATTTGCCCACGCACCTGGTTACTGTTTTGTCAATAGATTCCTTCCTGCATTTATGTCATTTTGAGAACATCTTAATGGTATAATCAAGCAAAGCCCCTTCCGCCATCACCGTGGTTTATTTGGTCCAGACTCAAACCCGGCACATAACAGGCGAGATGGTGCAGCCGCCGGTTGGGGGAGACACTTAGCACTTAAAACATCTAGTGTTTCTTTAAACATATGGGGGTCCGCTAACCGTTGCTTCCAATCCTAGGCGACTCTCGTTCTGCCATCATCTGGGATATCATTAAAAGGTCTAACGTCTTGGTCACGAGACGATTTGTGAACATTACACAAATAATCTAAGAGACCTATTTTGTATGTCAGTTTTAGCTGCATTTATTGTAGCAGTTGCTTGGGACATTGACAAAAGCTAACTTGTATATTTATATTTGGAGCCTGAAAAAACTTATTGAATATCTATAGTTAGGTGCAGTTGCTATAGCAACTGGTTCGGAAACCGACCATTGCGGATTTGTAGATATATTGTAGATTGGATCTTAATGGAAAAAATACAACACATTATGAGCAGGGTAAATCTACTGCAAAATAAAATGTATTATTCATTCGAGCTGTTTGTCAACTGGTGTGTTCGAGCTATATTTGTTGCTGCTGAATAAATACAGAACGTAGGTGAAAAAAAAATACCCAGTCTAGACTTTCCCCAGAAACAAACCACAGTTGGTGTCATGGGGATATGTATATGAATGGATCGCTGAAAATCAGTGACACCAGGGGTTCACCAAAAGAGTAAGCATGTTCCACCAATACCATGGAACCCACCATTCAAAACATTTATCTGAAGTGGAAGTACTTTTTTGCCAGACGCCATACAGCAGTGCTCCTGCCACGCAGAGCGCCTGTAAATAAACCAGACAATCAAGTGATCGAGGCACCGGGGAATCTAAATTAGTTGACTCATTTAGAATTATTCTGTGTAGAATATATACACGAAATTTAAGAGTATTTTATTCTGGTGAGAATAAGTGAATTCTATAGCGAATGCCAGGTCCCACCTCAGCTGTTGTATTACAACCAGCGTTAGATAATATTATAGTATTACTATTGTCGGTATGGAAGACATGGTACCGTTGGACGTACTTGTCCAGTTCAAAGTCAATGTGTATATGTTATACATATACATTTAATTAGAGGTATGTCACTGCCACCACACGAACACATACAGATCAGGAGTTACCGGGAACAGCATAGAATCAGAAATTAAAACAACAACAACAACGATAACACACACAATAAGAACAGGTGTTGTAAAGGGTGTGACAACATGATAGCGCGTCAAACTCTAACATTATCTGGTGCTTCGTGCTCTCAAGTTCCCAATAACTTGTCAAATTAGCTGTCACACCCCAAGGACTCGTGTCCGTCTTGGGGGAACAGACAAAGTTCTGTTGCATCAGACAATACATTGTTCAGTTAAAACGTCCATTGCCTAATAACACTATTACCTGCCTTGCAATCTGACTTCAGTGGGTGCAGGTTATTTACCACAATGCAAATGGAGCTATAAATCCCTGGAACAGCGAGCAGGCGCTGTGGGATATTTTCTCTGTGTCTGACTTAAACTCATACACGACCACATGGGTGTCACCAGCCATAATGGTCAAGAAGACAGGCTAAAGAAGAAGACAGAGCGAGACAAACACATCTATAATTCTGTGCAGTAGGCAATGACAAGTTCCTCCTTACATTGTAGCATGCACGTACAATGATGTAGTTAATAAATGGACAAAAATATAGCTTTGCAGTAATTCTTTATAACTACAATCATTAGTCCATCTCTTTGTAGAGCGTGGGTTCTCCAATTACCCCCGCCCCCCTCTCTCTCTCTCACACACACACATAGCCCCCTCCCTTCATAACGCGCGCACGCACACACATGCACAAATTCATGAGTAGATACGCGCGCACGCACACACATACATGTGAGAAAAAAATTAATGAAATGGTTTCGATGGCGAACGGGATCTAACAGGAAGGTCATTGAGCACAGGCGCAGTACAACACACTGTATATCCTCCTTTATAGGTACAGTCTTATATTTCCTCGAGACATTCTTCACCACCGGCGTTTAATGTCAACGTTTAAAGATGAAATGTGTATGTTTTCAGAATATTCCTGAATAAATTCAAAGAGGAAATATACCAACACACTTACGATGATTTTACTAGAGTTTTAAAAGATTTTTTAAAATGCAATTATTCAGAATTCTAAAAGGGGTCATTTTGTGGTCAAAATCTGGATAAAATTGCGAATCTGTTAGACTGGTTCCCATTTATTCCTGGGACAGACTGGAACTTTGCTTGGTTCTCGGTTCCCACAGTGCGCTGTATTGTCGTATATTGCAATATGTAGAGACGGGACCCAGCTTTGGACGATCGAGTGCAGCGACACCAAGCGGAAGATCCAGTCTGCGAAACAAAATGGCCACCATGTATGAAGATTTTGGAGATTTCTTGCCCAATGATGATCGGTCATGTGCGACAAATACAAAGTGTCAGGCAAGAGAAACCGGTGCAGTTTGTGCATTAGGTAGGTATATGTACCATCATTGTCTAACGATTCAGATTGATACGAATGTTTAACAACGGTTCTTGCAAGAGTTGAATTATCACTATCAGCTGATATGGCACTGTTGTCTTCGTGAGAGGTAAGCTCACAAGAGAAGAAGTATTTTTGATTAGTGGTAATGTCAGTTCCTTCTGTACATATAAACTTGGACATTGTGCTGTATGGACTCCAGTTATCATTTTCTATCAATTGGCTGTTCGTGTATTTTGGTATCCGACGGTGTCTATCGTTGCATTTGACATGTGTTTCGCCCTGTCACCTGTTTTCGTGAGTACCCTATCTCGTGGTACATTTTCATAGGTTTCGCTGCCTGGGATGTGAGAGTGAGGCTTATGTCAGTTAAGGCTAGTCTATCCAACCCTTATCATTATCCCTAAGACCCTTTCTGCTTACAGTTCAGGAGCAAAGTGAGTCATTCACTTGCAACATGGCTACCTGACTGGCTAGGTGACTCACATACTAGCTGCCTGGTTGACAAGACTGGCTAGGCACTGACTAGCCAGGTAACTTATTCAGTGGCAAACTAGGGAGAAGCCTCACGTAGGTTTCCTGGCTAAGTGATTAACTGTCTTCACTGGTTAGATGAATGACTCACTCACTGACTGACAGGCTCGGTGACTCCAACACTGGCTGGCTGGCTGGTTGGTTGGTTGGCTGGCTCGGTGACTCACACTGACTGGCCAACTGACTCCAACAATGGTGGTTTGGCAAGGTGACTCACATACTGACAGTGTTTACCTAAGTAGGTGACTCATACAGTGCAAGCTGAGTAGGTGACTCACATATTGGCTGGGTGACACAGTGGGTAGGTGACCCACACCTTGGCTGGCTAGGTAAGTGACTAACATATTGGCTGGGTGACACAGTGGGTAGGTGACCCACACCTTGGCTTGCTAGGTAAGTGACTCACATATTGGCTGGACATGACACAGTGGGTAGGTGACCCACACCTTGGCTGGCTAGGTAAGTGACTCACATATTGGCTGGGTGACACAGTGGGTAGGTGACCCACACCTTGGCTGGCTAGGTAAGTGACTAACATATTAGCTGGACATGACACAGTGGGTAGGTGACCCACACCTTGGCAGACTAGGTAGGTGACTCACATATGTGTTTCACCCTGTCACCTCTTTTTTGTGAGTATCCTATCTCGTAGTACCTTTGACAGGTTTTGTTGCCTGGGTGTGAGAGTTAGGCTTATGTCAAGTAAGGCTAGGTTATCCAGCCCTTATCATTATCCCTAAGACCCTTTCTCTTATCAAACAGCTCTGGAGCAAGAATACTCATTCACTTGCTACATGGTTACCCCACTGGCCAGGTGACTCACATACTATCTCCCTGGCTGACAGGACTGGCTTAGGCAGTGACTAGCCAGGTAACTCATTCAGGTAACTCATGGGTAGGTGACCCACACCTTGGCTGGCTAGGTAGGTGACTTTCTCATTGGCTGTCTGGGTAGGTGACTCACTGGGTTGGTGGTTAATTTTGATGTGTAGTTTGAGTATAATAATGTACAATTGGGTTGGAGAGTCCAAGCAAATCAGGGTTGAAGGATATCTTTCCAAGTTCGAAACAAGTGACAGAGCTCCAGATAAAATTTAGCTCATGTGGGTACTGTACCCACTGTATTTATATGGAGTGGGTATTATGAATGTTGAGTGGGTATTTCATTTTCCGTTACCCACTGCTTTCAAATATGTGTGTATTTCAGTCATTTCACTCACCTAAGTATTACGTCATTGAGTAAGGTTACTAAGCAGGTATGTTCTGCCTCATGTCATACCTAATCAAAACCAACTTAAATATAATGGAAATGATTTCATAAAAAAATCACTTATCCTATACTGACAGTACAACACTAGTCCTATACTAACAGTACAACTTGATACCAATCGAAGTCTTTTTCATTACGCAAGCGATTTTTATAAATATACTCCGTACGCATTTGTTTTAAACTTATTGCGTAACTTACATTTTAAATGCGTAAATGGTACGCAACAATTAGTTTTTCAATGCGTAATTGGAAATTTTCTATGCGTATTGTACCCGGATACGCAGCTTATCTGGGCCTCTGAAGTGATACAGTATAAATGTCTATAGATTCAGCTATATTGTGCACAGATATGATGTTGATGTACTCAAGAAAACATAGCAATCACATGACTGACAATTCTATAGCAGTTTCAGCGTACAACCTCTTGGTAACACAAGTGCTGATGAAATGGACTGGTCTTCTTGTTCCTCAGAACTGAACCCGATAAAACACATTTTGGATGAGCTGGGAAGACAAGTGGGACAGCAGATGGGTGAACTCTTGGCCTTGCAAGAACTTGGGCAAGTACTCGCTGACCAATGGTTGTGTGTTCTGACAGGAGACATTGTATTGCTGGCTAAATTGGTGCCAAAATGTCTGATGCTCTTTGTCAATCAGTGAGTCTCAATGCAGACAGAATATTTTGTGGAACTCTCTCCTTGTAACAGCAATGTCCCATATCTAGATATCCTGTAACAACGAAGAAACAAGAACAAAGGCTGAGTATATGATTAATATTTGATTCATTTGCTGATTTTCATCAAAGCAGCAGCTAAGCAAAGGAATGTAATTTTGTTTGGGGTCACTGCTGAGACTTGGGGCAGGTCAAGTTGACCTTAATGGTGTCACCACCAGTGACAAGTAGAATAATACAGCTGTACAGCTGTACCCATGTAGGTCAATGCAGCTGTACCCCATGTAGGTCAATGCAGCTGTGCAATGTTACCCCATGTAGGTCAATGCAGCTGTACCCCATGTAGATCGATGCAGCTGTGCAACGTTACCCCATGTAGGTCAATGCACCTGTGCAATGTTACCACATGTAAATCAATGCAGCTGTGCTATGTTACCCCATGTAGGACAATGCAGCTGTACAATGTTACCCCATGTAGATCAATGCAGCTCTGACGTTACCCCATGTAGGACAGAACAGCTGTAGAGATGTACACAATGTAGGTCAGTACAGCTGTTTAGCTGTAACCCATATGACAGTGAAGCTGTAGAGGTGTACCCTATATATGACAGTGAAGCTGTCTAGGTGTACCCCATATATGACAGTGAATCTGTCGAGCTGTACCCATATATGACAGTGAAGCTGTAGAGGTGTACCCTATATATGACAGTGAAGCTGTCGAGGTGTACCCCATATATGACAGTGAATCTGTAGAGCTGTACCCATATATGACAGTGAAGCTGTAGAGCTGTACCCCATATATGACAGTGAAGCTGTAGAGCTGTACCCCATATATGACCGTAAAGCTGTAGAGCTGTACCCCATATATGACAGTGAAGCTGTAGAGGTTTACCCCATATATGACAGTGAAGCTGTAGAGGTGTACCCCATATATGACAGTGAAGCTGTCGAGCTGAACCCATATATGACAGTGAAGCTGTAGAGGTGTATTCTATATATGACAGTGAAGCTGTCGAGGTGTACCCTATATATGACAGTGAAGCTGTCGAGGTGTACCCCATATATGACAGTGAAGCTGTAGAGCTGTACCCCATATATGACAGTGAAGCTGTAGAGGTGTACCCTATATATATGACAGTGAAGCTGTAGAGGTGTACCCTATATAGCGACAGTGAAGCTGTCGAGGTGTACCCCATATATGACAGTGAAGCTGTCGAGCTATACCCATATATGACAGTGAAGCTGCAGAGCTGTACCCCATATATTATGACAGTGAAGCTGTACCCCATATATGACAGTGAAGCTGTAGAGCTGTACCCCATATATGACAGTGAAGCTGTACCCCATATATGACAGTGAAGCTGTAGAGGTGTACCCCATATATGACAGTGAAGCTGTAGAGGTTTACCCCGTATATGACAGTGAATCTGTCGAGGTGTACTCCATGTAGGACTGTACAGCTGTATTCCATGTATGACAATGCAGCTGTACAGATGTATTCCCTTTGTAGGTCCATTTAGGTTTAGAGGTGTACTCTTTGTGCAGTTGCACAGCTGTTCTCCAGCTTTACAGCTGCACAAATGCAGTCCCAGCCAGTCAGCCGCCCAGTGCCATCCAACCTTGACTCTGAACCTGTGAGAAGTCTTCAGCACAAACCTGTGTAACTGTGTGACAGGGCACATGTATTGCATGTGCATGGGTTAAACTGCTGGTGTGGTGAAGGGGATGTGTTAACTCTTTAGTACTCAACCTAGTGACTATCCTGGGTAGCTGGGTGACAGGGCTCATGTGTTGCATGTGCATGGGTTAAGCTGCTTATTGTGTTAAGGGATGTGTTAACCCCTTTAGTACTTAACCTAGTGACTATCCTGGGTAGCTGGGTGACAGTGAGTGAGGTTGGTCCAGATGCAGAAATTCTGTGAGCCAATAAACCCAGAGGGATTTCTAAAAACATGAAGTATCGCCAGATATCAGGTGAGGACATTTCTCCACATCTCTTTGGTGACAAATGGATATAGTTTGTTGTGTCTTGATGTCAAGTGTAGAACATTTGGCTATCTCACCAAATTGTTTCATTTGATATGAAGATGATGCCATTCAGGCTCCAATCAATGTAGCCATGCGTTCGAGCTGAGGGAGAGTGAGCATCTTCATTGATGCTGCTCAGGTCTCACACATCACAAGTGATATTTGATTTCCCTTCATAATGTATGGCGGGCGGTGGGGTAGCCTAGTGGTCAAAGCGTTGGCCTCGTCACGCCGAAGACCGGGTCCAAATCCCACATGGGTACAATGTGTGAAGCCCATTTCTGGTGTCCCCGCCGTGATGTTGCTGGAATATTGCTAAAAGCGGCGTAAACCAAACTCAGTCAGTCAAAATGTAGGCTCCCCTATACTTGCATGTGCAACAAAAAGTAGATCTGTGTATTCATTGGTTGTCTGGTCTATGGTGTAGCATCGTGGTATCTTGGTAGATTTCATAGTAGAATATTTATTTGATGGAAAAGAGGATGGTCAGTTTCCATGGTAACACTTCAGTGTATTATCAGTTAGTATTCTGATTAATGTTTCCAGGGAGATCAATAGGTCATCTTGAGCTGCCTTTGAAGATTACTTGATGAAGTAACAGTACTGATCACGTGTTTCTGTAAGTTCAGTCTTACTATCATCAGAATCATTTATTTCTCCTGTACTTTCTAAACTTTATCATCAAATTCTTATTTGACTTTTTTGTCTAAATGGTCCAATGTAGTAATGTCCTTATCCTATAGCACTGTGATCTGTATAGACTGGGCCACCCATGTCTCCAGACACAGACCAGATACAGCACCAGGGGTGGAAATAACCCATTGCCCGAGTCCAGTGGTTTTTTCTGTCGGGCAAAAGCAAATTTGTATATCACACTGTACCGGTGTCAAGTTGATATTCCAATGTTAATTATGTTGTTTATTTAAAAAATCAACAAGAAAACGGCCGGTATAGTGGAAAAATTATCAGGGCAAGTGATTTTACATGTGCCACTGTACCGGAGTACACTAGCAATTTTAAAGTTATTTCCACCCCTGAGGCACAAAGAGCAGCAAGGCTCTATGGCTCACCTGAAGTTTTAATGATTTAGGTAGAAAACACCTAAAATTGGCCAGGGTATAGAACCAGACCAGCTATGACACTCCACTGGTATTGTATGTCATGGGGAATGGTAAACTGGTAGAGTCAATTTCTTTTATTTATGACTGTTGTCCAAGCTTCTGCTGCAGAAACACTGCACATAAACAGCAGAATGTCTTGAGAGAGCCAACTGTATTTTGCCCCACATAAAAGTGTACAAATATAAGTTTACTCCCCGAAACTTCTGGTACTTTTTTCTTCTTCCAACTTGGCAGCAAAATGCTACATCTGTACTGCTTGGTCCTTCATCAGTTTTGCAAGGTGTCCAAGAACACCTGGTGTCTCAGTGCACCAGACTGACAGACAGACAGACAGACAGACAGATGGTTGTCATGTTCTCTATTAATTCTTGCAAGTGGCTTATGTTGCTGGCTGTTGTGTCTCATCAATGGACAAAGGGAGACAATTTCAAAACTTTGGTGGAAGAGTTTGCTCCTTGATGAGCTGTCAGTGAGCAATTCTCAGAGTGCTAGTATAGAATATTTAAAGGCCAGGTGAGTGTTCTGCCAGGACAGCGGCCTTGCAGCATCAGTGTTGATTGGCATATAGTATTAACAATCGGTAGGATATTAGATATAGATGAGTCGTCATATACAATGTTTTTTACAACTTCATATACTACAGGATGTTTCTATGTCAACCACAGAAAAAGTAATAGACTTTGCTTCTTTTATCACAGGAAACGGCTGTTTGTTTCATAATGTTTCTGTTTCGATTTCTGTTTAATTTCAGAACAGGACCTAAAGAGACATGGTAATGGCAGTGATCACCTACAGTATGTTGAGGCTGATTAGAAGACATGGGGTGTTGCTGCTGCTCAAATATGTCCAGCATGTCCAGTTTTTATTTTACTATGATCTCTCATTGTGGCCCCATAAGTTTTAAAATGATCCATGCATTTCCAGTCAAGGGGGTTGTTGTCCACACTTGTGCAGTTTCTTGACAGAACACAGCAAGAGTAGAGTTACATCACAGGGTGCAGTCATTCACTCACTATATCAGTCACTTGATTGTCTGGTCCAGGCTTGATTATGTAAGTTCTGAACTAGAATATAACCAGGGTTAGGGTTAGATACACTGTCAGGTAGATCACAGTAAGGGTAGAGTTACATCACAGGGTGCGGTCTTTCACTCACTATATCAATCACTTGATTGTCTGGTCCAGACTTGATTATGTAAGTTCTGAACTAGTATATAACCAGGGTTAGGGTTAGACACACTGTCAGATAGATCACGGTAATGGTAGAGTTACATCACAGGGTGCGGTCTTTCACTCACTATATCAATCACTTGATTGTCTGGTCCAGACTTGATTATGTAAGTTCTGAACTAGAATATAACCAGGGTTAGGGTTAGATATACTGTCAGGTAGATCACAGCAAGGGTAGAGTTACATCACAGGGTGCGGTCTTTCACTCACTATATCAATCACTTGATTGTTTGGTCCAGACTTGATTATGTAAGTTCTGAACTAGAATATAACCAGTGTTAGGGTTATGGTTAGGTACACTGTCAGGTAGATCACAGTAAGGGTAGAGTTACATCACGGTGCGGTCTTTCACTCACTATATCAATCACTTGATTGTCTGGTCCAGACTTGATTATGTAAGTTCTGAACTAGAATATAAAAAGTGTTAGGGTTAGATATACTGTCAGGTAGATCACAGTAAGGGTAGAGTTACATCACAGGGTGCGGTCTTTCACTCACTATATCAATCACTTGATTGTCGGTCCAGACTTGATTATGTAAGTTCTGAACTAAAATATAACCAGGGTTAGGGTTAGATACACTGTCAGGTAGATCACAGTAAGGGTAGAGTTACATCACAGGGTGCGGTCTTTCACTCACTATATCAATCACTTGATTGTCGGTCCAGACTTGATTATGTAAGTTCTGAACTAGAATATAACCAGTGTTAGGGTTATGGTTAGGTACACTGTCAGGTAGATCACAGTAAGGGTAGAGTTACATCACAGAGTGCGGTCTTTCACTCACTATATCAATCACTTGATTGTCTGGTCCAGACTTGATTATGTAAGTTCTGAACTAGTATATAACCAGTGTTAGGTTTAGATATACTGTCAGGTAGATCACGGTAAGGGTAGAGTTACATCACAGGTGCGGTCTTTCACACACTATATCAATCACTTGATTGTTTGGTCCAGACTTGATTATGTAAGTTCTGAACTAGAATATAACCAGTGTTAGGGTTAGATACACTGTCAGGTAGATCACGGTAAGGGTAGAGTTATATCACAGGGTGCGGTCTTTCACTCACTATATCAATCACTTGATTGTTTGGTCCAGACTTGATTATGTAAGTTCTGAACTAGAATATAACCAGTGTTAGGGTTATGGTTAGGTACACTGTCAGGTAGATCACAGTAAGGGTAGAGTTACATCACAGGGTGCGGTCTTTCACTCACTATATCAATCACTTGATTGTTTGGTCCAGACTTGATTATGTAAGTTCTGAACTAGAATATAACCAGTGTTAGGTTTAGATATACTGTCAGGTAGATCACGGTAAGGGTAGAGTTACATCACAGGGTGCGGTCTTTCACTCACTATATCAATCACTTGATTGTTTGGTCCACACTTGATTATGTAAGTTCTGAACTAGAATATAACCAGGGTTAGGGTTAGATACACTGTCAGGTAGATCACAGTAAGGGTAGAGTTACATCACAGAGTGCGGCCTTTCACTCACTATATCAATCACTTGATTGTCTGGTCCAGACTTGATTATGTAAGTTCTGAACTAGAATATAACCAGGGTTAGGGTTAGATACACTGTCAAGTAGATCACAGTAAGGGTAGAGTTACATCACAGGGTGCGGTCTTTCACTCACTATATCAATCACTTGATTGTCTGGTCCAGACTTGATTATGTAAGTTCTGAACTAGAATATAACCAGGGTTAGGGTTAGATACACTGTCAGGTAGATCACAGTAAGGGTAGAGTTACATCACAGGGTGCGGTCTTTCACTCACTATATCAATCACTTGATTGTTTGGTCCACACTTGATTATGTAAGTTCTGAACTAGAATATAACCAGGGTAAGGGTTAGATACACTGTAAGGTACATCACAGTAAGGGTACAGTTACTTCACAGGGTGCAGTATTACACTCACTATATCAATCACTTGATTGCCTTGTCCAGACTTGATTATGTAAGTTCTGAACTAGAATATAACCAGGGTTAGGGCTAGATACACTGTAAGGTAGATCGCAGTAAGGGTAGAGTTACATCACAGGGTGCAGCCTTCACTCACTATATTTATCACTTGATTGTCTGATCCACACTTGATTATGTATTTATGATTGCAAACAACAAAACGTTAATAATTTCACACATAAGTTGTGAGTGATGCTTAATATCATGTTTACCTGCATGTCTGACTTAGTAATATACAGAAAAGATGGTTCACTTAAAACACTCAAGACAGAAAAGTTCAACAAATATTCAGTTACCTTGAAACGTATTTTCATTTCATACAGAATACAATAACAATATTTGCCAGTTTGTCTGCACTCAGCAATAGTTCCAGCTGTGTGATGATAGTTAGCAAATAAATGAGTCAGGACCAGACAATTCAGTGATCGAAATCATGCGGTAATCCAAACAATTAGGACATAATGCCACGCCTTAAACACAGAAACAGGGGAATATATCGTATCTGTTGTAGGGGTAGAGTTCTCAACAACGGAAATTATGTAGATAAGTAGATATTGGTGCAATTTTAGTTAAAAATAAAAGCATTAAGATATTTGTTTTGCTGGCGTTTATGGGCCGTTGTCACATTAATCCTTGGGGTGGCACAATAAACTTTGTGACAGGTGCCAAACTTTGGAATATGGCGTTAAACACGTATTCCCCAGTGTATTTACTCCTTAAGCCCCTGGCTGCCGAGGTTTTCAGGCGAACATTTTCATACGCTTTGAAAAGTGAACGTTGTGCGAGAATTGCGCTCACGTGGTCCTGGATCTAAGTACGGCTATAAAATTACACAGAAATGTAGAATATTAATTTCCTATCCGTTGGTATAAATATAAGTGCAACTCCCTCTGCGGTTTGAGAAATAGACCTTGCTAAATGTTGTCCAAATTTTTTGTTATGCGTTAAAAAACAGTAAATTTCTCCGCTTTTTTATCGCGCAGCGATAAAAGCACTGTGCTACGAATTTTTATTTTGGCATCTTTACGGAAAGTGTGAGCGAAGAAAATACACCCTGATATCTGAACGGCATAACTGTTTTATTTGTAAACAAATATTTGCGGAAAATATGGCAACACTGAAATTACCGTGAACACCAGTTTGTATCATAAGTTCTTTTTACCCATTGCTTATTGCGACAAAACAAATATAATATTGTGCCAATGTTTGAAGTGTGAAATGAGGTGCCAAACTTCATATCACCTCACTGTAGCCTCCTCGACCGTTCTCAAGAATGGCGCTGGTCACGTGACTTGGTACATCAGACGTTCAACGTAATATAATTCTTTCTCAGTATCCAGGTCCTTTAACCAATACGTGGAAATTAGGAGAAAAATTATGGCAGTTCTTCAACTCCAAAATGTATATAACACACACAGACAGGCTGGGCAGAAAACGTCGTCTAAAATGTACCAGTTTTCTGGCAGAAGTCATCTGAAATGTGGTCACAAAAGTGACGCTCTTACCGGCTGCTGGACCAAGGTTCAAGTACAAAGGCCCTGACGTCATCATCGCCTGTTCTGACGTCACGGGGTTCCAGTCGGCCGAGGGCTCCTTTGATTATTCTGGCGCAGTGATGAGGCCGTGCCAAAGTCTATATTGTAAAGCTTGGTCTCTCGTAGCGTCCCAAAGTGTTATGAACTATTTATTTACAATTAGTCACTGCATTACGCCTCGTCACTTTCTGAAATACTCCCACTTAATGTGAGACAAACTCCCAGCTAGCCTAATATTTTAATATCTCTCATGCATCAATAATTTTATGAACAAAACCTTTCCTGAAAGGGCTAGGTAGATAGAGTGAGATATGTTTCACCCGGAAAACAAGTTTGATTTTTGTTAAACCTAACGTTCTCAGCACTTAATGACTGTTGTATGGAGGCCTATGTAACTGTCAGGGGGAGAAAAAGATCGCCCAGTTCTCTTTATATTTCAGTGTAGTAAATTGCATATTTTGTGGGTTCTGCTGTAGGGTTTATGAGCCAGTCACTGGTTTTACGTCGCGCTTTAACAATATTCCAGCAGGGGGCACACCAGAAATGAGGATTCGAACCTGGGTATTCAGCGTGACAAGCGAACGCTTTAACCACTAGGCTAGGCTACTCGGCCCTCTGTCTGTCTGTTTGTATGTCTGTGTGCGTGCGTGCGTGTGTGTGTGTTTACCGGTTTCGTACGCATCCAGGCTTCGTTGTGCATCACAACATTCCGGCGCCACTGCACCATTCCATAGTGTGCATTCTGTAGAGTAGACTAGAATAATGTTATTCCAAAATGTAAAAACTATGTCTCCAAGATAATAAATATTCCCCAAAAGGCCCCGAGCAATCTACACTTGCCAAATTATTGTACACTTGGAGATGATTACTCATGCTGCTGTTACTCGATGTAAACTCTGTGGCCATTGAGGGTAGCAAAATTCACATCTTTTCTCAACATTAGTAGTGAAAAATACACAAATAAACAGCCCTGCAACATTTGTTCGTGCTCACAGCCATAATATAAAACGTAACTAACGTCGCATTTACCCCGCGATGCTCCAGAAGATTTTATGCATAAATAAGAGAATTACCAGCACTGTGATATAGTTGACTGTGGTGCAATCAGTAGCATTAAAGAAACACTTTTTTTTTCATTTTTCTTTCGTGAAAAGAATGTTTGTCTTGGTGAATGAACGTGTTTCCACATGCCTTTGAAGAAGATATGGGTATAGTACAGTATAGTATAGTGGCAGGATTTGTTTTTTACTTTGCTACACCTACTTTGTATACGGCTGTTTTTCACTCATTTTCGGATATTTATCTGGCGCTTCAGTCAGTTTGAACTGTCCCAATAAACCTGGCCAGCAGATTTACAGCCTTTAATACAAACTGGAAGTAGTGTGACACAGAATCCAACAAGCTTGTCCAGTCCCTTCAGGTCCAAGAATTGGCTGCTGGGGACACACAATCCCCACCCCAAATCCCCCTCCCTTCCTCCAAAGTGATTGGTTGCCTGAGTACAGCTAAATTGTCATACGTCTGCCGCCGCTGTCAGTCCGTCTGTCCGTTAGTGAACCCGGGTATGTAGTACAGTTGATAATGAGCGCGTCCGTCTGTCCGTCCATCCGTCGGTTATCATGTTTATCTCTCCAAAGCATCTGAAAGAGACAAATTCGGCCATTTTGTCAATATTTCGTCCATTCGTCCATTCGTCCTATCTGTGTGAGTTCAACATTGAAACATGTTGTTATACAGTGATTGTTAGATTGTAAACATGTATTAATGAAAAGGTAAATAAACCCGATAGCGCACTGGCTCGGGAGGCTGAATGGCCGTATTGCTACCAATGACGTCACACACTGTTTCACATTATATACATTGTATCGTGGCGACTGTAGTTTCAAGTTGAGTGATAACATCTCTCTCTCTCTCCTCTCCCTCCTCTCCTCTCTCTCTCTCTCTCATGGCATATATTACACCTCACCTTACTGCCTCCACGTGCACCAACAATTCTCCATTCAAAGTGATCGGTCCACACAAACCAGTGATTGATATCACGAGTATGTTTCCCCTACGCGCGGCGATGGCGCCCATTCTAAGTTGGTCGCGCCTATTACTAGTGTGACGTCTGGTGTCCCCTGCCGTGATATTGCTGGAATATTGCTAAAAGCCCGGTAAAACTGAACTCACGCACTCACTCAAACATTCCCGGCACCACTGCACCATTCTTTAGACTAGCGTTCAGTCCCTGGAATAAAGTATTTAAATATAAATATATCTCCAAAACAATATATATGATCCTAAAGGAGCCCTGAACAATTGCATGAACAGCCATGCCACAACTTATTCGTGTTGGCAGCCAAAATATTATTAAATGTGATTAACATGTTGCAAGTTTCCCACAGTCCTTCCGAAGATTTTATGCATAAATAGGAAAACACATTTTGCTCCGTGGAACATATGCATGTCTTGGTGAATGAACGGTTTGAACAGTTTACTACTGAAGAGACGGGTATAATGCATGGAAATCAGATACAATGAAACACCAACAATTTTCCATCCAAAATGATTGGTCCACACAAACCAGTGATTGATATCGCGAGGATCTTGCGCCTATTGGTCGCGCCTATTAGCGGTATATCTTAACTGCAAGAACCACTGTTGAAAGCACTTTCTAACGCACATAAGATATAAACATTCTCCGGAAAGATAAAGCTGTAGTTGTGGTGTGGCGTACAGTTGATGTTACAAAATCTTTCAGAATAAAGTTAAGTGAAATAAATAATAGGTGAAAGAATCTAGACTATTAAACCCACATTCACAAAGTGAGGTACCCAATCGTCAATATATTCCCTCAAATAACAATAATTCACTGTTCTGTAGTTCCATGATAGTCCAAGTTAATAGTCACATGACTTGTCCCTTGTCCCACCCGGTACCCATTTTCTGCTAAACACCGCGTCATCTGAAGTGCCACTTTACAGGCCCCGCGCAGAGTTGACTGTCGCACAGTCAGTATAGAGTCGGGTTTTGTGTAAGTTCAAACGTCAGTGGATGGTCATACACGAACAACCATCCCAGCAACAATTTATTCTTGCTCACGGACACAATATTAAATAGACGGATGTATTTTATTACAGAGTATGGTGATATTCTTGCTCTTTCACGTAGATGGGTCTCTTACTGATGGCAGGTTATAAAAGTGACCACTCACTCAATCACTCACTCACTCTATCAACCACTGGTTTGTAAGGATGGGTTTTATTACAGAGTATGGCGATATTGTTGCTCTTTGACGTAGATAGGTCTGTTACTAACGACAGGTTATAAAAGTTGACCACTCAATCACTCACTCGCTCTATCAACCACTGCACTGCATCCTCAAGAAGCACCATCATCTATCTGGTCTGTGTAATGTCGAAGGTTACAGCACTGCCTCATGCCACACTACATCCTCGACTGTTTGTGAATTCAATATGTCCACACAAGGTCCTGTTTTCCCTGTCAGGATTTATCTTAGATGCAGCTGAACTTTGAAGCCAAGCGGAGTTATCGCCCTTTCTTTGTGCTTGTACATACACGTCGCTGTCTTCCTTTAAAAACTTGGTAAAACTCGGTTTCTGTCACGTAGTCAATTTATTTATCTCAATCAAAGTGCATTGATATCGGTAATTAAATCTAGCTTCCACAAACCAGTGGTTGGTAGTGTGAGTGGGAGTGAGTTGTACACTTATTGAGGATTCTATATTCAGTAATGTTTAAATGTTATCTATGTTATTCTGTTGTCTGTAAGTAGCTTTGTATCTCCATCCAAGTGCAATAATATCGGCTTTGACAAACCATTTTTGATAGAGTGAGTGAGTAAGTGAGTGAGTTAGTAAGTGAGTGAGCTTACCGACCACAGCATCCTCTGTCACTGTTAATTCAATTTGTGGGGAAACTGCTAGTTCGCTTCATTAATGTTGAAAGAAGCGTTGAGGAACACCGTTCATTGTCTGTGAGTGAGTCAGTGAGTGAGTGAGTGAGCATGGTTTCACGCCGCTTTTAGAAATATTCCCGCAACATCACGGCGGGGAACACCAGAAATGGGCTTTACACATTGTACCCATGTGGGGAATCGAAACCGGCTTCGGCGTGACGAACGAACGCTTTAACCACTAGGCTACCCAACTGCCCGTTCATTGTGTGTGTGCAGACTCGGGAATGAGCGGAAACACAATAAGTAGTTTGATAGAATGACTCACACTGTGATTGATAGAATGACAATCCAGTGATCAATAGCATGAGCATTGATCTGCGCAATTAGGAACCGATGACATGTGC